ACCTGGTTGTCATGTTATTTTCTTCCTGAGCATCCCGCTCTGATCCAGCAGAGCTGCTCTGACGTCGCGGCTGCCCGCGGAGGTCTTGGCTGGGATTATTCCTTGCCTCGGCTAAGCCCAGACCGGGCGGGGAGGCTGGAACCGGCCTAAGCTCCCCTCAGCTGCTGCCACCTCAGCAGCATCCCCGGCTCCGTCCCGGCCCCCCGAGCACACGGGTCCAGCACTGCGCCTGCCCCTCGCCTGGGCTCTCCAGGCCGTCCTGCCTGGCTCGGTCTTGCTGGGCACCCTCCCTTCCCAGCCCTGTGTGGGAGACCCCGGCCTCCCTGAGCCCCACATGCAGCTCGGGGAATCGGGGCGCCTCGGGCACGGCAGAGGCTGAAAGGGGGGCCGGCCGTGGGATCCAGCGGGATCTGTGCGAGGGCTCCGTCCCTGCAGGGGCCGAGCAGGTCCCACGTCCCACGACCTGGAGGTCCCTTCCAGGACCTCCCCAAGCTCCTTTCCCAGCCCAGCCGCCCCCGTGGGGGGCCAGCCGGTGAGAACCGGTCCCGTCACATGATCCAGCATCGCCTTGGGTTCTTCCCTGCCCATTTCTCGAAAGCCCGGCCTGGCCGGGGGTTTCTCTCCACCTGTAGCTGCACGGGGAGGGGGCACGGAAGGGGCTCTGCCGCCTCCATCGCTCGAGAGGCCGAGCCGCAGCCGCTGCCTGGCAGAGGTGGGACCCGAACAATGGTGGCCATCCTGTTTTAGGAGCACGGGGAGATGCACACCCGTCCTTCCCCTTCAGCACCGTGCACCAAGCAAGGAGAAATCGTGCGATTCCCCCACCCACGTTCCAATTTAATGTATTCCACACTTTAAAAAAAAGACATTTCTTTAATAGGCTTATATCCAGGAAAGGAACCAACGCAGATCAATAAAAGCGCTGCAGCATTAAAAATGGATGCAGTAAAAGGGCACACGAAAGCGGCTGCAAAGTTTTGGAAAGGGACGTGGAGCTATTTCGGGACCTGAGAAAATGGAGAGGGCCTGGCCCGGGGCACAAGGTGCCGGGCGGGTGGTCCAGGCAGGTGAGCCCCCGCTGGCCGCACCTGAGCCGGCAGGTGCCTGCGAGGGGCCCGGGAAGGTGGGGCAGAAATACAGCAGGTCTGCTTCTTTTTAGAATAGCTTTCCCTCCCAGCAGCCAAGATCCAGGAGCAGCATTTTAGCTTTTCTGGGAGTGGGTGGGAACGCCACACACGGGTCAGGGACTCGTGAAATGATGGGGAAGGGGCTTTTGTGGGGTCTGCAGTGGGCCTTGGGGAGTGGGGCATTGGCAAGACGCACCCGATGCTCCTGGTTACCGCCGAGCCCAGCGAAGGAGCCGGCCGAGGCGCAGCTCTCCCTTCGCAGGGCTGAGGCGGCACCTACAGAACCACCGCAACTCGGGTCAGGGTGACTGAACGGTCCTGCCGTGTGTCCCGCCCGGCCCGCCTCCCTTCCCTCTGTCCCGACCAGGATCTGCTGCTTTTGGGTGGCCGGGAATTCGCTGCCTCCTGCTGTGGCTCCTACAAAATGGTCATTAATTTAATTTCTTGCTTCGGCCCTGGACGGGGGCACGTGCGGTGGCCTTTCAGCAAAGGGCCGGGCTCTGTTTGTTTGGGTTTGCGGTTGGCTGGTGCTACTCTGAAAGCGAGATGCAATCTGTGCCCTTTGTCTTTGTGTGTAATTAGAGCGCAGTCCCGTTTCTCATGATCTCCATGGGGGGTGCTAATGATCACCATGCCCCCCCCTTTGCAGGGCTTTTTGCTTCCCTGAGTTTCTCAGTTTTCAGTCATACGTTCAGCCCGAACCTGAGCCTGAATCCGGCCGGTCCTGAACTTTAAGAACATGCCACCCCTTAAAACCCCCCGAACAGATGCCTCATACCTCGTACGTTTTTGCACGTATTTCTCCTTGTATGCACAATGTAGCCCTTTTTCTGCCCCACACATCTCTGCAAGCACTTTCTGTAGTATTATGTTACTTCCCGCAGTATATACAAATTCGTCCGCACTTGAGCTAACACGTACACAATTTTCGTTTTTTGGGGAGTTCCGTCGCAACGTCAGGCGCAGTTCGGAAGCGCAGGCGATTCTCGGAGGGCCGCCAGCGTCTTGCATGCGCCGCCTTGGGCTCCCCCAGCTTGTGCCCCGCCGGTGCCGCGGGCTGCAGCTCCTGTGCCCCCCGCCCCCCGCAGCAGGCTATGGGCCCAGGTTTGGGGGGGGGACAGAGGCTTGGGGAGGAGCGCTGCAGTGGGAGGGTAGAAAGAGGAGGAGGAAGGGCAGCGTTGGCAAAGGTGGCTTGCTTGTTTGCAGACCCTCCCTGCAAGGCGGCGCCCGTGCCGATAAGCCTCCGGGCGGGGGCGTCCTCGCCGGGACCTGCACAGCTCCCCCGCCTCTCGCGCGCCCGGCTCTTCGTCCTGCCAAGTCAAGCAATCTGGCGGGCCACGTGCAGGCAGAAAGTGGCCACCGCCGGGCCTTGGTGCGTGGGGTGGGGGGCGGTGGGCCTCGGAAAACAAAGCGGTCCATCTTGGGATCTCGCCGGAGAGGCTGGCTGAGGATCCCGGGCAGCCTGGAGCAAGGGCCCTTCCTCAGGTCAAATCCCAGCACGGCAATTAAAGCGAGAGGGAGAGCGCAGCGGCAGCTCAGCGAGAGGCACGAAAATGCGGAGGGCGGGCGCTGCGGTCGTTCTGCCCCGGGAACGGCGGCCGGGGCTCCTCCTCCGCTCCTCTGGGAGGCAGTTCAGGACGTGGAGGGCTGCGGCCAAGAAGACTCAGCCTGGCCTCTCAGTGGCGGGGGGATTTCAGGCCGGGGTGCTGGAGAAATGCTCAGCGGAGCTGCATGGGTTTGACCTGTGGATCCCACAGGCGTCTGCCATTTTCCGAGCCCCGACTCAGGCGGTGCTGATGTGGCCGCACGGGAAAGCCACCTGCCCCCGGACAGCCGGGGAGGGTATCTGGTAGCCTCCGGGAGGGGACGGGAGCCCTCTGGGGCTGCAGCCCGGGTCTGGGGGCCGCAGGGCGTGCACCACGGTGCGGCCCGATGAGCGACGCTTACAAGCGAGCGGGCGGCATCTGCTCTGCCGTACGTGGCACTTCCCCTCCGCCGCCGTCCTCTGCGGGTGCCGAGCGGAGCCTTCCCAGCTGCGTCTTCTGGTTGCCTCGCAGGCCCTTTTCCGCCCTCTTTCCAGCTTCCCCAAGACTGACGTGGGGCCCGAGTTGCCTCTGCAGCAGCCAGAAGCGCTGCTTCCGCCGGTTTCTCCTCCGAGTGCTGACGTTCTCCCAAGCACGTGCCCGGCCTTTCCCTGAGCGACTTCCACTACTCCAGTTTGCGGAATCAGCTCCCCCTCTGCCCATGACCCGTGCCCAGTCACTGGCGTTTTGTGCCAGTCTCTGTGAGGAGGAGCCATGAGGGGGCCCAGCGGCTCGGAGCTCGGCTATCGGCCAGAGGGGCGCACCTTGGGAGAGGATTTTACAAAACCGGATGGATAAAATTTGAGAGGGGAAGCATGGAAGATGGAAGGGGCTGATGAATGCAGCTAATGATTGGATTGTATGTGCAAATGACAGATGCAAACCCGTGCACGTTTAGGCCAAAACAAACTCCCCCCCTCCCGCCGCTGCCGCCGCCTTGAATTAAGCCCCCCTCCACCTTCTCAGTGGTGAGCAAATGAGAAGGGGCTGGAAGCAGCCGGGCTTTCTCTCCCTCTCTTTCCCTGCCTTCCCTTGCGTGCTCGTCACTGCCAGCGCCTGGCCTCAACCCGAGCACCAGCCCTGCCCAATCACCTGCCTTCCTGCAGGGCCATCACCGCCTGGATCTGGCATGTTTGCATTTCCGGGTGGGGACGGATCCATTCCCGCCACCTCCCCATTAGTCTGCATTAGGTAAACAGCTTCTGCCAAGAGCAGGAGGGAGAGGAGCCTTTCGCCTGCTCTGCATCCTGCCCTCTGCTGGGCACGCCTGTCCTCGCCGAGTGATCGCCGCTGGCGAGCAGCCAGACACCAAGGCCGGCCGGGGAGCCTTGGAGGTTTTGCTGGCAGCGTGGCAGCTCACATGAAGCTGCCCAAACCACGGTGAGGGGGATGGCAATTCCCAGCATCCCCCGGCTGGATGGGGCGTTCTGTTTGTCCCTGAGGAAGGGGGCTGCTGGGCTGGGAAGGCTCGCTCAGTCTTCGTGAGAAACAGCCAAAGCGAACGGGCGCTTCTGGTTCGAAAAGAAACGCAGAGAAGAGGATATGGCTCTGTTTATTTATTTATGTAGCTACTCGCTCGATTTAAAAAATGCATAATGCTTTTAATTTTTCCCGAGATGTCCCGAAGCTGGTGCGACTGGGCTAAGAGCAAGAATTGAGCACCTCGGGCCGTTCAGCGGGCAGAGCCCAGACCTGTGCCTGGGGTACCCATGGTGGGAGGGGGACAATTCCCCCCACCCAGTGCGACCCCCCGAGCGGGTGGTCCCACAAAGCTGGTGGCGGGCAGAGAAGCGAGGGCCTTCTGCTCCGCACGGCGCAGAGTCGAGCTGTGGGGCACAGGAGGCAGAGCCGGCGCTCAAGGGGGAGCGGACCCGTTCCTCAAGGGGGGCTGGCGGAGGCGTCTGGTCCAGGCGGCCGGCTGTCTCCACGCACCAGCGGCTGGGTGGGGGTGCTGTTGCCCCCGTCCTGTTGGTGGCTTCCTTTCGGGGGCCCTGCTTGGCCCCATGGGAGCCCCATGCCGGATGGGTTGGACCCCCGGGTCCCGTGCAGCCCGGCTCTCCTTGCGCTTCAGAACGGCCAAGCATCCAGCCAAAACCACCCCACACCCCCGAAAGTGCGCAGCTCAAGACAATGCTTTAATCTCTTTTCTGATGATGTCGTGGGGGTTTCCCACTGGGAATTTGGGATGTCAGCGTTACTGCTTTAACCCGGGGTGGTGGTGTGTGGAACGGATTGTTATATGGGTCGTTCGCTGCCTCAGGGGCCTGCAACGGGGGCTGGGTGGGAAGGAATGCTTTTTGGGTTTTGCAAGGGAGAAGCAACTCTGATTTGTTCCCCCACCCACCTTTCCCCCCCCCCCCCAGAATCGTGTCCTCGAAGTTTGGACTGCACCCTCCAGCGGCGCCAGTTCTGCCCACCCGGATCGCACGCCTGCGGCCCCTGCCTCCCCCAGTTCGTGGACGATGGGCACGGCAGATGCATCGCGAGGACGCACGCGTCCGGCGGTAGGTGTGGGCAGCCGCGGGGGGGGGGCACGCGCAGCACCCCTCCCCGCAGCCCGTTGCCTGGGCAATTTCCCAGCCCACGCATCTGTGGACCGGCTCGCTGCGAAGCCGGATCCCACGTCGGCCCAGCCTTGTGCTACAACACCAGCTGCTTGTGTTTGTTCAGCATTCGGCTCCTCAGCCGAGTCGCACAAGTTGCTTTACAAAATGCGAATTACCCTGTAGGCAAGATGCTTGGCTCGGAGAGGCATCTATGGGAGAAGCGGCAGGGCGGAGCGTTCCTCCGGTGTCGAGCGTTTGCCTGCGGCGTGGTGGGTTGGATCAAAGTACCGATATTCCGGCACAGTGGAGCCCAAATTCTTGCGGAGAACTTCTTGATGCATCCCGATATTTAGCCTTTGTCTTGCCGCGTCGCGTTCCAGCAGCCCCGGCAGCTGAGAGCGCATCCAGGGACCGTGAAAGGCTTTCAGGCTGGTGTGGAGCACCATGTGGCGCGATGGCCAGAGTGCGGGGTGGGGGCGGAGGTCTGGGTTGTGCTGTCCAGCCACAAAGCGCACGGGCCACAGAGGCTCAGCCTGGCCTACCTCGCAAGGCTGTTGTGAGGGTAAAACGGAGAGGAGAACCCAGGTTCGCCTCAAGAGCAGGCTACGGAGGGAGGGGACACGCACGAGGGCATCTCTGCTGCTGTTTTCGCCTCGGTGGCTCCTGCTTTAGCTTGCCAGCTTGGTTGCAAATCGCGCAGCATGGAAGTGAAATCAGCAGTCATAAGCGATAACGACAACTGATACTTGCATCCCATCAGCTGGACGCTAAAGGTAACGACCGCCTTTAACGTCCTTCAGTGAATGTCCGTGCTGTTTGCAATTTGCACTCCCAAGTTCTGGATGATTAACGGAGGGTTTGGGCTCCGATGGTGCCCCCCGGGCAAACTGCCCTGGCAGATGCCTTTTGAGGCCGAAACGCTTTTGGCAGCATCTGTCCCCTTCCCCGCTCCTCCTCCGAAAGCTGGGCCGCGGAGCCGGCAGCAGAGAACACGGATCCGCGCCTTCGCTCTGGAGCGCAGCTTTGTGCCAAGTGAGGGCGACAGATTGGCGGTTATATAAGAGCTCGGCCGTGCGGGATTCATTCCATCGCTTGGGAGATTATCTGCTTCCGGCGGTTTATCCCTTTCCCTTTAGAAGGATGGGAAAGCTGCCCACCGGATGCCTCTGGCAGGACGGGGCAAGACCCCCCCCCGGCTGCCCGTCTGAGCCGGGGTGCCCAGCATGCCACCCGGGTGCCCGAGGGGCTTTGCGGGTTGCCGCCGCCATTGTGCGGTCCCGTGCAGGGGAACGGATGCGCGGAGAGCACGGATGAACTCGCGGCCGTCCTGCTCCGTGTGGGCACGGCTGCATTATCCAGGGGCCCTCGTGTCCGGAACATGGGAGCGCTGGAGAAGCGGGCAGCGTCATGAAATGTTCACATGGCAGCGCGCTGCTTCAGCCGCAGGGATGTTCAGGCGGAGAGGCCCAATTGTGCGCCTGGTCGCAGCAGTGCCGGGGCGGGGGCACCCTGGTGGGGGAGGCCCGCTTGGGTGGGACCCAGACACGCTTGGGGGCCAGAGGTTCCCGCTTGTGGGTCCTGCGAGCAGCTGGTTGCCCATGGTGGGAGCGGAATAGTGGGCTCGCACTGAGCTCCCCACGCCTCCGGCCAGCCGAGCACCTCGCGTGAGGTCGGAGCGACAAGGCCTCGCGTGGCCGGCGGACGCGGGCTCCAGTGTGCCGCCGGCATCGGTGGACGGCTGGTTGGAGCCGTGGCGCGAGGTTCCCGAAGCAGGCTGGGGGGGGCGGCCCTCCTGCAGCGTCTCACTGACGCCGTCTGCACCCCTCCCTCCCCACGGCTTCCTTGCAGGCCGCGCGACCGTCCCCGGTGTAGACGGAGAGATCGACCTGGTGGCGGAGGCGCTGGCCAAGCAGGAGGGCTCGCAGCCACGCAGCCGGCAGCATGGTGAGCCTCCCCGGCCGGCCCCCGTGGGCAGGGCTGGGACGGGACGGGATGGGACGGCCCGCTGGAGGCGTCCGGGGGCGCCCGGCTGCCTGCCATCCTCCTCCAGTGTGTGGGGCAGCCGGTCCCTCCCTTGCCCGGGGGAGGGGGCAGGGGGTCTTGCTGGTGGGGGGGGGGGCGGGCAGCTGCCTCGGCCTTTGCCTCATCTCCCCTGCCTTCTCTGGCCATGCGCAGAAAGCTCAGCCCCTCCGGCGAAGCAGCCCAAGGATGGCGTGTGGAAGGCGACGTCCTTGCAGAGGGGCCGGGCGGACCACCCTGCGGCCACGCGGCAGCCCCCCACCGAGCCCGTCCAGAGCTCCCCGGTGGAGTCCCCGCGCTTGTCTTCCAACGACGCGCTCCTTCTGGGTGAGCAGCTCGTCCAGCGTGCCGCTTGCGAGGGAATCCGAGTCCCCGAGAGCCCTGCTGGGAGAATCCGGGGGCCCAATGGGGCACCCCAGAGACCGCCCCACACTCGGGCCTGTGTGGGGCCTCCCGGATTGGCTTGTCTCCCTCTGGAGTAGCAGCCACTCAACAGAAGGGGGTGGCTATTCCTATGCCGAGCTTTCCCGTACACGGTTCCAGCTGGTGTTATTACCCATCATCTGGTTATCTCAGCCTTCCCCAATCTGGGGCCCCTGCTGCCCAGAAGTGATGGGTGTGGTAGTCCAACACATCTGCAGAGCACCAGATCAGGGCGAAAGCTTGATCTGAATTAATTACTAGTTTGTTAATTTGATCAAGGCAGAAAGGTAGCGTAGTCTTTTTTATTGAAGTTTTTTTTTTTTTAATGGCAGTCCTGAAATCCAAGAGTGTGAAGGAAGGCATAAACACATTCAGAAACTTTTAAGGAAACAAATATATTTTAATAAAAATGAACACAGTCATAAGGACTAGAAACGTAATTTATGCACAAGACGAAAAGCCGAAAGCTTAGGATGCTTCACACAAGCGGAAATCGGCCCTCCACGGGGGTGGAATTGGGACCGGACAACACTTGGCCCCGCCTGGAAAAGGCACTTGGCTCTGCTTACTGGCCTGGCGCGTGCCAGAGAATGTCTGTTTTTTTATTTTTACCAAAGCATGTTTTTACCTTGCTGCCCTGCCAGGAAGCCTCCCAGAGTGGCCCCAGTCCGCCAGACAAGACGGTCCCTGCCACCGGCTTGCAATTGTAAAAGCCAGAAAGGGAATGGGATGGGGATAGGAGTAAAAGCCGCCTGGGGACTCGGCGTTTGGCGGCATACAGATGGAAATACATGTGAGCGAGCGAGCGAGCGAGCGTCCATAAACCAAGCAAGGCCCCCGTGGGCCGTTCCAGGAGGGCGCTGCTGACGCCTCGGCTCTCCGCTTGCCTCCCAGGGCTGATCGTCGTGTGCACCGCGGCAGGAATCGCGGCGCTGGTGGTGGCAGCGGTGTGCTGGTGCAGGTAAGCCCATGGCAGCTCCCTGGCGAGGCCCGGGGGCCGGGCTTTGGTGCCCGGGACACCCGTCCCCGGAGGGCGGGGGCCGGCCGTGGGGAGGCCGTGCCGCTGCCTCAGTTTTCCTCCTCGAAGGTGGAGCCCCTGTGGGAAGCTGCCCTGGACATGCCGGTGAAACTGCTCAGGATCACGGAATGGCAGAGCCGGAAGGGGCCACGGGTCCCCCCTCCCTGCTGCTGCAGGACCCCACGTCACCCTGTCCCACTTAGCTGGCGTTTCTCGCTGTCTTTGCTTTTCGCTTTTGGCAGCAAAGTGCAGAAGGGTTTTTAAGCTGACGTTGATATTTTGGGATACAGACAAATCTGGGCACCACTTAAGAACCAGCTAATGCGTCCGGCGGGCGCACTGCCGTTTCACAGACGAGGAAAGCTTGCCTCGCGCCGACTCGCCCTCGTAATCCACCTGCCGCAGGTGGCTGCCTCTGCATCCAAGGTGCAGGGGTGCCAGCTCAGCCTGTGAGGTTCCCCAGCAGGCAGGGCCCCGGGCCGCCCACCGCTTGCTGGCTTTCTGTCTTTCGTGCCTGTTTTCCTCATTTGGAAAGGTTGTACTGCTGGTCTCTCGACTTGCCCGCTCAGAGGAAGAGCGATTGGAGGGTGGCCCTGCCCCCCACTGGCATGGGCACCCCAAGAAACTGGGGTGCCCATGTTGTGAGCCGCCTCGAGGCTTATTGCGATGGGGCGGCATAGAAATGTTTTAAGTAATAAATAAGAAACTCTCCAAAGCAGAACTCTGCCCTTGGCCCAAGAGAGATTCGGGACGCCTGACCTGGTGGCGCTGCCAGCCCAGGTGGCTCCCTGGCTGGGCAGACGTTTGAGCCGGGGGTGGGCGGGGGTGGCGACGTGCGCTCGATTTCCCACTTTCTTCCCTGCTGCAGGCTGCAGAAGGAAATAAGACTGGCCCAGAAAACGGACTACCCAGCTCACATGGCATCTGCACCCCCGTCGTATGACAAGATCTCGGTACGTTGCCCCCCCCCGCTCATCCTTTTGCCCACCACCCTTGAAAGTGGCGCTCTCACGCCTCGTGCTGTGGAAGCACCAGTCCTGGGCCTGCACAGACCAAGGTCAGGCTCCTGTGGATGGAGCAGAGTCTGTCCACAGCATCTCTGCATGAGTTGCTGTTCACGCTCCGTCATGATCTGATCCATCTCTGTGGGTGGGAAGAGTTTCTGTGCCACGACGGAGGCGGCGGATGCCTTCAGCCCCAGAATCTCCTGGCTTGGCCAAGAGCAAAGGGGTCACTCGTTCCTGGGGAGTTCGGGAAACACAGCACTCGGCTGTGACGATTCTGTATTTCCTTTGCCCCCGAACCAACTGCCTGCGCCTTCTGCCCTGCCCTGCCTGTTCCCCTCCAAGCCTGGAGACAAGAAGCTGGCCCAGACTGCCCAAATGTACCACTACCAGCACCAGAAGCAGCAGATGCTCTCCATGGAGAAGTAAGCCTCCCCTTCCGGGCTCCCTGCACGGGGGTTTGGCCGTTGCTTTTAGGGGGAGGCGAACGAGCCGCAACTGGTGTGGCCGGGCGGCTTGTCATCCTGGGCCTGGATGCCGCTTCGGCCTGCAGTGGCGGCTCGCTCTGCACCGAGGGCGAGGTGGTGCCAGCCGAGCCAGAGGTCCGCTTAGACGGCCTGAAAGACGCAGCGTGCAAATCCGCAGAGCAGGCCAGAAGCGCCCGGCCCATCGCCGAGCCGGCCTGAAGACGTTTCTGTCCGGCCCCCAGAAGCTCCGGCTCCCTCCGCAGGCCCTGTCCTCCGGCCTGTAGGCTTCCAGGGACTCGGGGGCAGCCGGGGAGGGGCGCCCCTTGTTATCTCCGCTGTCTCAACCCTGCGACACGGATGCGCGTGTGTCGGGGTTTGGGGATGCTGGACACGCAGGGTTCCGCCGACGGTCGAACCTGGACTTGGATTGGGAAGCAGAGTGCCGGAGTGGGGGCACGGAGCTTGGGGCGCCTGCGGAAGGTGGCTCCCGGGGTGGGAAGGGGCCACGACCACGTCCTCGTGGCTCATGAGCCCCCGTGTGCGAATCCCTTCTCCATGAAATCTCCAGGAATAAAGACGAACCCAAAGTTCCCGAACCCGTCTCCTCGGATGAAGAAAACGAAGAGGGGGACTTCACGGTGTATGAGTGCCCCGGCTTGGCTCCCGTACGTACCTCTGCCAGCAAGCTGCTCTCCCCCCCGCCCCGCCGTGCTTCCCCCCTCGAGCCCCACAGGGGAGCAGACCTGCCCCTTGGCTCTTCTCCAGGTTCTCTGGGCTACGATGCCAGCAAAGCGGTCCACCGCGGCCAGCCATGGCCCGGGCCATGCGAGCCACAGGCCAGTGCGCCCGCCGGGCACCGGGCTGCTCTGAGCAAACCCGCTGCAACGCAGCTGCACAGACTCGTGTAGCCGCAAGGCCCCGTTCGTCCCCCGCAGCCCAGACGTGCGAATTCCTCTCAGCTTGGCAGAGAAACAGGGAGTGTCCAGTTTGCGCGACAAACAGCAGCGAGGTCCCCTTTGCATCAGAGATGAAGCTGCTGGAAATCAAGTCAACCCAGCATGCCTGGGTTTGTGGCTTCCCCCTTGGGAGGGTGAATCCTGGACCCCCCCCCCATTTGGGGAGTTTGGGGGGTGTGATTTCAGAATAGGACTGCAAGCACTGGATTGGTCTTTTCCCCATTTAGTGCTGTCCAGACATGCGGAATTGCAACCCCATTATCCCCACCTGGTTGGGAATAATGGAGGCTGTAGTCCTGCACTTCTGGGGGGTGCCCCACTGGGGCAAAGCTGATAAGGAAGCTCTCGACTGCCCCCTGAGAGAAGGCGGAATCGCAAGTGCCAAATGCCGCCATCTTGTAACTGTGTCGCTTTGCTTTTCCTGCTCTTCCTGTCCTCGCGACCGGTCGCCTGCTGCCGCCAACGCCAGACGGGAGAAATGGAAGTGAAGAATCCTCTGTTTGACGACTCCCCCTTGCACCCTGCAGCCCCCAACCTGCGCCCCTGATCCCGGGCTCACCGTGCTCTGGACTGCGCCCGCTGAACACCCAGCGGCTGGGAAGCCCCGAATCCGCGCCCAGGAGAACGGGAAGCGGGCTCCTCGCACGGCACCCCACCGCTGACCCCACACACCCGCCGCTGGAATGCAGGCGGCTTCCTGGGGCGTCCGGGGCGGCTTCACTCCCTGGCGGGGCGTGCGCCCCCCACCCCCCCGTTCTGCTGCTTCGTAATGTCCAGTGAGCATGCGCCCGGCCGGAACGCAGGGAAGGCCCTCGGGGGCTCTCTGGACTGCCGGGAGGAGAGGACAGGGCGGCTGGCGGCCTGAAAGCCCCGCGAGGACGAACCCGCGGCCGCCCATGCCGGGCGTCCTCAGCCGAACCGCGTCCGGGCAGCTGCCGGCGCTGAGCAGGAAGCACGTGGCAGGACCCGGCCGGCTCCGCGCGCGCGTTTGCTCAGCCCGGGCGTCCTGTTGCCGGTGTGTCCCCATGCTTGTGCGGGGGTGTTAATGCCCCCCTCCACGCAGCCTGGGCCCCTGTCGCACGGCACGGCTGGGGAAAGGCGTTCTCGCCGCCGCGTGCAGAACGGCCGGGTTCAGACAAGCCGATCGCCTGCTTTCGAGCGCTGAACCTGGGCTGAGCACGGCTCGCTGTTGAAACGCTGGGTGATCGGGTTGCTTGAACCCAGTGGCGCTAAGCAGCCCCGGCTTGTTGGCCACAAACCCCTCGTGCGAGCCCACGTTTTGCTACTGAGTTGTGAATTGCGGGTCCCATCTCCCCTCACCAGCCCACTGCACAATCACACACGGATTGTATCCTGCCACGTTCATTGTACGAACTCAGCCAGCTCTTCCCCGACTCCGTTTGACTTACCTTACTTGCGTTTTCCTGGAGACCTTAAAACACCGCCCTGAGGTGGGGCAGCACCTGGCCACGCCAGAATTTGAGCTTGGGCTCTTCCCCACTAAGCCCCGGGGGCCCCAGCCCAGGCCAGAATGGATCACCCCCCCCCTTTTTAAATGTACCTGTTAAAGGGCAGGATGAAGCCCCCCATGGCAGGGCAATGTGTACCGGAGCAGTGCCCGCCGAGCTCCCGGGGAAGGTGCGGGTTGCTTTCGGGGTGGCTGGGAAGGCCTCTCGAGGGGGATTCCTCCAGGGAAAGCAGCTACCGCTCGACTGGATTAAAGCTTCCCGTGTCGTCACGCACCAGAGATGGAGCGAGTCGCGTGTGTTTGTGACGGGCTGGCGTCTGATGGAGGCGGTGGCGCAGGCGCAGCCTCGCTTTTCAGAAGAGTCTCCATGGCAGTGAGCGCTTTGCACGCGCTGAGAAGGACCCTGCCCTCGGGAGCATCTCGTTCGGCGGCCCCTGGGCTCTGGAGGACGGGATCCCCTCCCCGTTCCAGAGATGGGGGAGTGGGCGGGGGCTCTGCGGGGTTCGGCCTGGGGCAGTGCTGCCTCGAACGGTGTGCCCCTGCCCCATTTGTGGGCAGAGAAGCTGGGGGTGCACTTTCAGCTCCCGTTGCCTGATACCCCCCCAAAAAAAGCAGAAGTGTTTTAATAGGGAAGAAGCGTTTTAATAGATAGCAATAGCTGAGCAGAGTTGTACAGAAGAATCACATGAGCAGAACCAACAATGTAGTAGAAGAAAGATGGTCCCAGCGAGGCACACATGAATCGACAGTAAATCGCATTTCAAGTCAGTAGCCAGTTCAAGTCATCGCCAGGTCACCGTTGGGATGTGGACCCTGCATCGTGTGCAAGAGGCAGGGCGCCGGTTGGTCACATTTGACGGACTCTCTGGAGGGCGAGGACCTCGGCATCTAGTCCTGCGTTTCTGAGAGCGGCTCCCCCCGCCCCTGCTCGAACGCCTCCAGCAATGGGGGTCTCCACCAGGAGGCGGCCGGCTCCCTTCACGTGCAGCCGAAGTCAGCTCTCCTGCCTTTTCTTCCCGCCAGATCAAGTCCTGCCCTCTGGAGCACCGGACCGTTTTTCAGCCACATTGCACGGTCTCTCCTCTTGTAAAGTGTACGCAGAGTTCCCTGCCCCGAGGAGCCTGCAGTCCCTCCAAACTCGAACACTGGTAGTGCATAAAGGAATTTTAATCTGCGGCCTGGCCGAGCCCAACAGCCCTGCTCTTTGCTACACTATTCCACTCTTTAAGGCACCTTCCTCAAGCTGGTGGCCTTCCCAGGCACATGGGCCGCAGCTCCCAGAATCCCCATTCAGCAGGGCCACGGGCTGGGGATTCTGGGCACTGCAGTCCGCTTGTGCCTGGAAAGCACAAGCTCGGGGAAGGCTGCTGGAAGGCTTGCTTCAGTGATGCTGGCAGCCTGGGGTGGCTTCTGGGTGCTGGGGAACATGGGGGCGGTGTGGGGCTGCCCGCCTGCCGTGGGCCTGCTGCAGGGGCCCACCCGCCCCAGACGTGGCGGTCGCGCTGCTCCGAGGTGGGGCACGACTCAGCCCGCCCTCCCTCCCTCCCTCCGACCACGCGCGGCAAGAGAGCGACTTCCGCCGCCACGGCAGAGCAGTGCCGAGCCGGAGCCGAGCCGCGATTGCAGCGATTGCAGCGATGCACAGGGTCCGCCGCTCGCCCCAGGACCCCGGCTCTGCGGCCGATGCCCAAATGACCTGTGGGGCAGCCCTGCAGCGTGGCGACGGTCCCCCCAGAAGGGTGCTGGGGCGACCGGGGGGGGGGGGCCTGGATAGCGGCCAGCTGTGGGGGGAGCCCTGCCAAGGAGCGGCCGCTGCCTCCGCCCAGCTCCCGCCTGCCGCAGTTGAGTAAACAGGAAGGCTGTTGAGCAAGGCACCTCTGCGCCCCCCCCGCGGCTCCCCCCCCCCCCGCTCACAGGAGCTGGGCTGGCCGCCTCTTTGCACCTCCAGGCGAGGCGAGTGCCCTCGGCGCCTTGAGCGGGCCGGGCACGCTTGCAGGGCCCACCGCGGAGCCACGGGGGCTGCTGCTCCCCCCGCCAGCAGCCGGCTTGTCCTGCGGCGCTGCTCCGGCAGGCAGAGGGGGGCCAAGACCCTGGTGCGACCGAGGCTGGGGTGCGGAGGAGTCCGGAGGGGGTGGTGGGAGGGCCACAGAAGGCCACCCCGGCCCTGCTCGTGAGCCCCTGGCCCTCTCCAGCACCCCCCTGCTCCTGGCGCCGGCGCTGGCCGCCTCCTTGGGGCAGGGCACTTTCACACAGCCACCGCTGCGGCTCAGCTGTCCCTGCGTGTCGACCCCGAGAGCGATGCTGCCTCCCCAGAGAGAGGGCCGTAGCGGGGCCTGGCTCATGGAGGGAAGATACGGAGCCCGGGGGGGGGGGTCCCTGGAGGAGGCTAGCACGAGAGGTGGGGGCCTGGAACGGCCCATCCCGGGACCCTCGGGGACGCTGGGCGGGGCGAGGGGGAGGCCGGTGCCTCTGCGAAGCCCTGCGGCTCGGCTGGCCCAGATGGGTGGGGGCTTCTCTGCATCCCCCCTTCAACCCGCCAGGTCACCTGCACCTGCTCTGGATGGACCCCCCCGGGTGTTGGCTGCGCTGGAGCGCTGGGGCTGGAAGGGCGTGCTGCTGCGAGGAGGAAGCGGATGCCCGTTTGCTCTGGTGGGGGGGAGGGTGGAGAACGGGGCTGATGCGTATCTCCCCGAAACCAAAGAGGAACCGTGAGGCTTGGTGGAGCCAGGGCACGGCGGCTGCATGTGAGCGGGAGCGGAGGGCCAGCCCGGCGGGCTATGCCAGGAGCGGCGAGGCAGGGCAGGGTCCGGGCGGGGGGCTGCAGAGAGTGGAGCTGAGCACAGGGATCTGCCTGGGAAAGAGCGCGGCTGGGGACCCGGGCGGCCAGGCAGGCAGCCGGTGCAGAAAAGGTCGGACAGGGCCCAGAAGAGCCGCTGGGCCTGCCCGCGAAGGGAACCCGGAGCCATGGGGCGATGGTGCTGCCAGTGCCGCCTCTGAACCGGACCCCACGGTTGACCACGAGGGGCCCCCTGCCCAGCGGGGATGCTTCGGGCTGGCCGGCGGCTAATTCCGGAACCAGCTCTCCGGGCTGGGGTAGACCTTCTCCTGGGGCAGGCTGGGGTACTGGCGGCACACGAGGCAGAACCGCTCCCGCCAGTCGTCGTACAGCTTGACCGCGTGGCTGCGCCTCCACTCGAAGAAGCGCCTGTAGCTGCTCTCGTTCATGGTGGCCAGGAAGCGGCCGAGCTGCTCGGCAGAGCCAAAATCGTCCACGTGGATAAAGGCCCCTGCGGGCAGGAACCGCTCGTAGTTGGCTCTGGGCGGGCCCAGGACCACCGGCACCGTGCCGGCCAGGAGCGAGTTCCTCCAGAGCTTCTCCGTGATGTAATCCTTGGCGAGGCTGTTCTCGAAGGCGAGGTAGAACTTGTACTTGGCGATGGTGGGCAGCAGGCAGGCCGGGCAGAGCGGCTTCCCGCTCGCCTTCCCGAAGACGTCCACCCGGATGTGCCTGGCCAGGCGGCGGTGCACCCGGGCCCTCTCCTGGCTGTGGTGGTAGTTGCTCACCACCCAGGCCGCCAGCCCGGTTTTCTCCGGGATGGCCACGGTGGCTGAGCCCCGAGGCACGAGCTGCCCGTACGGGACAAAGATGTCGGAGTCCTGCCGGTACGTCATGACCCAGTTCCACTCCGTCCCTCCCCAGCCTGACAGCGTGTGGGTGTGGCTGGGGGACTCCAGGGAGACCCAGACCCACTTCTGCCCCGGGTGGGGCTTGGACTTTGGCAGCCCGGACCTGCTCTGCTGGAGCTCCCTGGCGTGGAAGGCCACCACGTCAGCCTGGGCGTAGCGGCTGCGGTCCCCCGTCAGCCAGCAGCCCTCTATGCCGTAGAGGGTGGCACAGACGTCGCCGCTGAGGTTCAAGGCCTGCCTGAAGGGCCAGTCCCAAATCAGGACCAGCAGGGGCTTGGGAGCTCCTCCAGCGTAGCCAGATGGCGACCGGAGCGAGATGGTGCCGAAGAGGCACGCGAGGAGCAGCCTCGCCAGCTCGGAGGCCATGGGACAGCGACGCACCGGCCTCGCCGCTCAGGGGAGGCGCCCCTTCCTCTCGTGGGCTCGGCTCAGCACGCCTTCTCCTCAGCGGAGGGAGGCGATTTCGGGAGCTCTAAGAGAAGAAAGAGGGTGGAGGAAATGACCGTGAAGATGGGAGTTCAATTGCAAAAGTTCAGGAAACAGAACTAGGTTGCAATCTGGTAAGTTCTGCCTGTGGAGGTTTTCGGAAATCACCTTCAAAACAGCCTGCCAATCGAGAACAGTCCAGTCGCCCTGAGAAGACGCTGCCGCGTGTTTCCTCGGCTGCCCTCCTTCCTCCTCCCACAGCCCCTGCCCGCCACGCATGGCGCCAGTGTGGCGAAAGGCCGCTTGCGCCACGCTCCCTTCCCGCTGGCTTGTGTAACGATGCGCACGTGTGTGTGATGCAGCCATGTCGACGCGGCATTAGGAATTCGGGAGAAATTCAGAATGCAGAAAAGCTTCCTTGGTTTCGGCGCGCGCAACAAGCAGCAGCCCAAGAGGCAAAAGACAGGCGAAAAAAGGGGGAAGGCGGGCATCCTTTCTGGCAACGCAGGCAGCTCTGAAAGCAGCAGGGCCACACCTGGATCTGAGAAGGGCCAAAATGGCACATTTTGCTGCGCTGCTGCAGCTGGCAACTTTTATTTAGCACTCGAAGCAGAAAAGGGCAGAAAGCTCTTTTCAGGACTGGCAAACTGAACCCAAGGGGGAAAAGTTAGCCTGTCTGTCCACATTTTCCAGATAAACATTTCCTTGCCTATTTTAAAATCTGGCTTTCCCCATAAAGTTAATTTCGCAGGTGAAAATAAGACAAACAGCAATTAGCAGCTCTTTAACCAACAAGGGGGGCCACACTATCTATTGTGGGATGCCAAGAACTCACTGCGGGGATCCAGAAACAAAAATTCAAGGACTGACCTGGGAGGGGCATCTAAACTGAGCGGTCCAGTAGAATAAGGAAAGTTGCATCTGTTTCCAGGATGTTTACGCTGGACTAAAACTCTGTAAGAATGCATGGTAAGAAACCTGAAGCATCTGGAAATACTTGCGTGCATAAGGAAGGGAACAGATGACAATACGCGCTTCTCGCAAAGCTTGCAAAAAGCCAGCGAGCTGTCCGGCATTTTGCGAGTGCCACACACACATTTTAAAGGTATGTGCTTATTTAATGCTACTATTTTTCCTGCTGCTTTCCAGCCGCGTGTGCAGAAGCCCCCACACGCCCTGCACTGGAATGAGAACAACGGGTGGAAATGCAAAATACCCACATTTATAACATCAGAACTAAAAGCTGGGATCAGGCGATCTGGACTGCCGCTCCTCAAGTCCCGTGTCAGCCTTTCCCAACTCAGCTCTGTCTTGGACTACAACATGGACCATGTTGGCTGGGGTTGATGGGAACTGCACCCCTAAATATCTGGAAGCCATCAGGCTGGGGGAAGCTGTATTTGAGACTGAACGCAATCTTTCTGAAAGAGTAGAAAACTCTTAAGATGGAGGTTCGAAAAGGCGGGTGGGCGCCGGAGTTGGCTCTCCTGATTTTTTGGGCAGGTGAGGCAGGCAAGAGCATCTCTGAGGTAGCCCCTGAGTCCCAGCTGCAAAGCCGAGGTGTGCCTCCGCTAGGCAGGTGTGCTTGTGGCATCCGTGGGTTGCCATCTCTTGGTGTGTGTTGCATTGTATTTGATTCTTCTAAACATGTGGGGCGTTTTTATATTTTTGTCTTCATCTTTTAATCCACCCGGAGAGCATTGGTTACTGAGCAGATTAGAAATGTAATAATATACCGTATTTTTCGCTCTATAAGACGTACTTTTCCCCCCCCAAAAGTAAGGGGAAATGTCTGTGCGTCTTATAGAGCAAATGTGTGTGTGCCCGATGCCCGGGACGCTGCCAGCCGCCTGCACCCCGTGGCACCACCTGGCCGGCACGCGCTCGGCCCCCCCCCCCCCCCCCCCCCCCCCCCGGCGCAGGTGAGAGCTGTTAAGCACAGGTCGGCGTGTGTTTTCAAATGGCAACCCGTCTTTTAATGAAGCCCATGGGGGAGCGATGGGGAATGTGCCTGTAATTATCAGGAAGCTTTCCATGGATCCCTCCTCTAAAAACTAGGTGCATCTTATGGTCAGGTATGTCTTATAGAGCGAAAAATACGGCATTTAGATCTGCACATAGGAGTTTGAAAACTGCCTGCCGGTCAATCAGTCACAGAAGCAAGAACCGCTTTGCAGCAAAACCTTTGACCTTCTGACATGATTTTCAGCTGAATTTGGAAGTTTTATACAAGATACACCCACACACACACGGAGTTTAAGACCTGATAAGTTTTTAACCCTTAAAGCTGCATTATCACTTTTTAAAAAATCTGTGCTAAGTCAGGTTTGTGGTGGGGGTAGCATCAAACCTTTTGAAACCTGATCTGCTCATTTATATGCAAATATGTCTATTTTTTGAAAGGGGAGCCAAGAAAGGATGAATCAGATGGGGGATTTACTGGCAGATTATCAAGAAATGGGGATGAACTGAAACAAGACAATGGTGGAGGGAGTCATTTTGCTAACTGAACATTTTTACCCTGCTTTCACTCGATGTTTCAAAGCCCATCTTGTTGTTCAAAAAGCAAAACAGCCTGCACGAAGAAAGCAAAGCACCCTCTTCCACGGCATGATAACACAATAAGAGGCAGCATTTAAAAAATCCCACTCAAAACCCAGTTCAAAAATAAGACTTTTTAGTGTGTTTGTAACGCAGAATTGCTAGAGAAACATCTCGCACACGCAAGCGAAAGGCAGAACCTTCCAGGGCCTTTTTATGTGTTTGCTGCTTTTTTAAGAAGAAAAAAAGCAGTTTGCTTTGTTAAAATTAGTTCTGCTTTAGCTCAAGCTACTTCAATCATCAATACCCAAACACCGAATCATCATCAACACCCAAACACCAAATCACAGTTTTGCATTACCTTTTTCTGCTGGACACAGGGTCCCAGGTCTTTCCTCCGAATGGCCGTGTCTTGGTCTGAAAAGGGAGCGGCAAAGGAAGGTGCTTGAGTTCTCCCCCGCACACATCCCCTTTCTCTCTTTCGGGCAAGTTCTCATTCCTACCACCATTTTTCTACCTTGGTTATACAGCTGTTTCCTGGAACGGTTCAGCTTTAGTGTGGTTTTGACACCTCCCTCATGACTGAGACATGGCACTGCGACTGATCCTGGAAACGGCAGCCGAAGGTGGTCACAGATGCTCTGGCAGCCCGCACTCAGGGCATGTGGCACCCGGCTTGTGGCGGTGAGAGGGGGCCGGATTTCTCGGCCCCCGGGCCTCTCGTCTGGCCCGAAAGTTGCGTCAACCAAGTCGACTGATTCAGACCAAATTAAAGGAACTTCTGAAGAAGTTTTGTTCTGTCGATGAAAGGGCGCTTACCCTCACGTGGGGCAAGCCTCCGCCAGCAGGGGCCTTCCCGATGTGCTGGACGGCCACCCTCGGCATCTGGGAGGGCCGGCTGCCGGGAAGCTGGCCTCCAGCCGGCGAGGGGCATTCCCGGGCGCAGCGGCTGCTCCCAGCGAGGCGGCCCTGGGCCGGCCCAGAGGAGCCTCCAGCAGCGGGAGCAGCAGGGGCGCTGCGGTGGCCCGGGCGGCCCCAGCCCCGTGGGGTGCAGCGGCCCGCTCCCCGGGCACTGCGCTGCAGCAGAGGGGGCGGTGGGCCTGGGAGCGGCTGGGTGCGTTCCCCACAGGGCCTCGGAGGGGCAGGTGCGGACGGCTCGGGGGCAGCCGTGGAGGGGCGGCCTCTCCAGGCACGTGGGGGGCATGGATGGAGGCAAGGGAGCATCGGCAGACACCACCTGCCCAGACCCCCTCGAATTAGGGCGGCAGGCACCCGGCACCAGGCTCCCAGATCCGTGCTTTATTGTGTGAATCTCACGCCAGAGCAGAACCGCGGCGCCATTGAGCATGTTTTGGGTGGAGGAGACTGCCGGCCATTCGCCCCTGAGCGCCATTTAATTCCGTTAAGTTTCATCCACGCACGGAACCACTGGGCCAGGACCCTTCGCCGGAGCCTCTGCTACAGGGCCAAGGCGCCTTCGGGCCAAGGCGGGCATCGTCTCCGCCCCGCTGCTGTTGGGCACCCACGGCTTCCACTTCGATCTCCACGCCACGTGGGCCCAGGCAAGCAAAAAACCACAGGATTTCCATGCAGGGCGTTTCTCGCACCTTTGTTCCCCCTTGCACGCAGCTCCCTTGCGTGTGCCCGGAGCGTCTCCCCAGTCGCAAATCAGCCCCTCCAGCTGCAAGGGGAGCCCCACCCCGGTGTGAAACCTGCGCCCGGAGGCTGGGAAAGCAGGAGGCCCCCACGGGAAGGGAGCGCCAGCCAGCCAGCCGGCCGGCGTGGCAGTGTCACTCGGGACGCTGCCGGCAGGAGACCCCGAGGTGCCCCGCCGGCGAAGCGGCTGAGGCGCGCGGTCCGCGCTTCTGGAGCTCAGCACTTCCCGCAGCTTCCCGCAGGGGGCGCCCTCGGACTGATGCCCGCCGCACTGGGCCGATTTGTTCGGTCCCCCCTTGCTGCCGGCCCAAATGCAGCCCCCTCGGTGCCTGCGCGCCCCCCCCACCCCAGTGCACGGGGGCTCCGGAAGGGGCTGATGCTGGCAAGCGAGGGGTTCCAGGCCGGAGGCCCCGCCTTGGGGCTGTGGAAGGTGGGGGACCAGGCTTGTGGGCTGTCAGGTCATGCTGCTCAAGGGGGGCGCGTCGTCCGGTTCGGGTGGCGGGGCCGAGAATCCGCCGAGCAGGCTCTTCCCAAACCCCGAATGCACCGCCCGGGGAACCCGCGGCCGGGCCGGGTGCCAGGGCAGGGCAGGGCAGGGGGAAGCTCCGCGGGGCAGGCAATCGCTCCGTGCGGGCAGCAGCATCGGCCCCGCCGCCGTCGCCAGACGCAGCCCTCGATCGCGGCGGGCGCAGATGCGCGCGGCCCGGACGTCGCCGGCGCGCCCGGAGCCGCGGGGGCCTCGGTCCCTCGCCCTGCTCGCGCGGGGGGGGGGAGCGGGCGGGCGGGCCCCGCGCCCTCGGCCCCGGGCCCCGCCAGCAGCGAAGAGCCCGCGCGGCCCCTTTAAGAGCGCCGGGGGCGGGGCGTGGGCGGGGCGTGGGCGCGCTGCGCGCGGTGCCATGCGAGGCGAGGCGAGGCGATGCAGTAGCGCCGCGAGCGAGGCAGAGGCGAAGGCAGGAGCAGGAGCCGGGCGCCCGGGCCGCTCCGACAGGCGCCGCTGCAGCCGGGCCGACGCGGCGGGCGGGCGAGCGGGCCCTCCCGGGCGGGCGGGCGAGCGAACGAACGGGGCGGGGCGGCGGCGCCGCGCAGACAAAGCCCGGCGAGGCAGGGCCGCCGCGCGAGCCACGATGGGCTTCCTGCACC